CAAAAGATATAAAAGGGTCTAAATTAGTTTTAGGAATGCTACTGAAATGGTGCATATCTGATCCATATGCAAACAAAGTAAAGCGATTTGCATCTCATTTATGTTCGCAGGAGAACAAGGTTACATGAAAAACTGAGCTTTCTGACCTGGTGATTTTGGTTTGGCTTCTGAGGAAGAAATATCAAACCACGGCTAAGTGGCTTCAGCTGATTGCTCTGTTTTCACACAGACAGTAAAACTCACCAACTTTGTGAATTTTAAGTTGTATCTTGTTAGAAAAGCAAAACCTTTCATCCAGGCTGCTCTTCAGCTGCGTACTGGTGAACCGAGGCAGTGTGACCCTGCTGTATTAACTCCACCTGTGTCTCCTGCTGTTGCCCTGGGACNCTAAAACAGATGGTTACAGAAAGTAATCGTGGTTCTGTGAATGAAGGTCAACACGCCACCGTATGGGTCACTCTCTCAGAGGGTGAGCTTTTTCAGGAGACAATTAGCAAATTAACACCTCTGCCCTTTGGGCACAATCAGAGCTTACTAATACAGCTGTGCGATCACCTGCCCAGTCTCTTTTCTCCAACTGAGGCCAAAGCAGCCTACTGAAAGACAATGCAAGCTGGCATGTTGACCTTCATTCATAGAACCACAGTTACCTTCTGTAACCATCCGTTCTATTTCATATCAGGTCAACACGCCACCGTATGGGTCAGCTGAATAGCAAATAAGGTCAGGCAGGAGGTGTAGTGAGGCTAAAAACACTCAGGACAACAGTTAACTGATCAGAACACATTTTTTTATTGAAGAAAAATAAAGCCTTGGGGCACTAAGCCAAGACCGATGAAGGTCACCTACTGCAAAAGAAAACACCATCCACCTTTTCTGTTCCCATTTTTATGGACAGAAAAAGGCCCAGCATAGCAGGGACCACACACCTCACTGTCTTGCTTGCAGGACAGCAGAGGATATTGACGAGCCAACATTTAGCCTGTAGAACCTTGCAAAGGTCCCAGAAGAGGCCCAACCGGCTCCAAGGGAGCCCCCCCAAGTCATGTGGTGGAGGATGAAAGGGCTCCAGAACCAAGGGCCACACCACGAAAGATCGAGGGTGCACCTTAGGTAAGAAGGCTGGATTTGGAAGGAGAGAGATGGCAGAGCCCTCCTCCCCCAACCTCAAACAGGATGGATGCACAGACAGGGCATGCAGTTCAGAGGCACGCTTCGCTGAGGACACGGCAAGAAGATAAGCCGTTTTGAGGGACAGAAGCTCCAGCCCCAAACAGGACAAAGGCTCTAAAGGAGACTCTGACAGAGCCTGCAACACCAACTGCAAATCCCATGACGGGACCATGGGGGACCGTGATGGCTGGATACACCTAGCCCCCTTCAAAAACTGGCCAAGAAGGGGCTGCGAGCCCATCGTCCCATCCTCAATAGGGATGTGACGGTCAGATATGGCCGCCACATAGCCCCTCAAGGTGGATTCAGTCAGCCCTCTCTCCAACAGTGACTGCAAAAACAAGAGGACCCCTTGTGTCCCACAAGAGACCGGGTTCCAGCCTTTCTCTGCACACCACTGGCAAAACCTTTCCATCTGCCAGCATAAAGAACCCTGGTAGAGGGAGCCCTAGCTGCCTGCAGGGTAGCCATAACGGCAGGACTCAAGCCGCAGGGCGGCTCCCGTCCAAGGGCCAGACATGCAGCCTGTAAATCCCCGGATTCTTGTGCCAGAGCTGTCCTTGAACCTGCAACAGCATGTCCAGTCTGAAAGGGATTTTCAATCACTCACATAGTGGGGATGTAGCTCAGTGGTAGAGCGTGTGCTTCGCATGTACAAGGTCCTGGGATCAATCCCCAGCATCTCCATCATGTGACAAGTCATGACTTCCTTTATCAATCTATGCAGCTAACACAGATTAATCCCAGTTACAACTGTGTTTACAAGGAGGAAGGGCTCTTACTAGTGATTTATTAATTGAACAACTAAAACACTTAAAAGTCCCATGTATAGGATTTAGCAGCATCTAGCAGTGAGGTTGCAGAGCTAAAACTTCTCCTGTGTACCAGGCATGCACAAGAGCTATAGTGGCCGACATGAAAACATGACAAACTAGAGGTGTTTAATTTGTCTGTTCTGGGCTACTGTAGAAGAACATGGTGTTCTCCATGCAAGAGGACCTGCTCTGTATGTAGATATATTAACAGGTTTTTTAAGGTAATGAAAACACAGTTATGAATATTATATACCATGTCTGCCAACAGATGCTCACTGCTCACGTGCACACTGGGCCTTAAAAAAAGAATAAATTATCAGGCAGCCTCAAAACCATACATGGGGGATGTAGCTCAGTGGGAGAGCGTGTGCTTCGCATGTACAAGGTCCTGGGATCAATCCCCAGCATCTCCATCATGACTGACTGACTCCTTTAACACTACTACAAGGGGCCTGATACACAGCAGTCAGACACTTATTAACACTGTATAGAGACAGTCAGGGCAGATTCAGTCTGCTATTAAAGCAAATTAATATGTCAACCTATCAATGAGCACGTTTACATACACACTAATAAACCGATCATTATCTGATTTCTGGAGTTACCTGATTATTCAAGTGGTCGTGTAAACAGCATAATCCGATGTGCTTTATCAGACAAAAGCCATTATCTGATTATGAGAAATCAGATAAACACATCTAGCTTTTTCCCCAATAGTCAGATTATTCGGTGCATGTATACCCTTTAATCTGGTTTCTTTCAGGTTTTGCTATTTTATACTCCCACTCCACTACATTTTAGAGGGAAATATTGTACTTTCTACTCCACTACGTTAATCTGACAGCTTTTGTTTGATTTTACATAAAATAATATATTTTTATATTCTGTGTTTAAATTGTCACTTCTATCTTACTTATATGTTGTGCACTTTGTGTGACAAGTTTATATACAATACACTTGTATATTGCATTCTGCAGTACTTTTACTCCGAATCTACCCAAAGTATGTAAAATTGGCTCCACATTGATAAACTACACATTAGAATGCTCTCACATGTATTTGTTAATGATAAAAACAAACAGTACTGTAAGAATATAAGCTGTCAGCATGATGAGTGCTTTATTTTGCAAATATATGACTTGCATACTTTTCGAGGTTTTTCCAAGGATGAGTACCTACTGTAACAGGAAGTTTGAGTTTTATGTCATGTACTTTGGGAGAAATCCAACTGAAGGACTGAATCATGTAAACCAGGTTTTTCTGATTATCAGATTATTGAAGTGCATGTAAATGTGTCAAATCGGATTATTACAATTACCTGATTATTCCCAGTTATCTGATTATTGTGCGCATGTAACCGTGCTCAGTGAATCTGTTAAATTAAGAAACAATAGTGATCAAGTAAAAACAATTCATCAGCAGCCATTTTTCCAGAATTAAACCAAATTTATTGCCCTTTTCTGAGTAAACACACATTTTCCATTTCACTGCATTTTCCCATCAAAACTAATCAAACATTCTTCGATCTATTCCCCGAATCATCTCTGTCTATAAATGTATGAAGTTACAAAAATATACACTTAGTTAGAAAAATAATAAAACTCAAGTCATAAATTCAGTCAGGTTATAACCTCATGGTGAGAAAACTCTAAGAAATGCAGGTTTTTTACAGAAGACCACAACATGTTTTTTTACATGTCTGAACCCATGAAGAAGAAATGTTCTCTTTAATCACTTATAAATCATGACTACATTTTCTGAGTCATTAGTTTAGTTTTTTCAGCACAATAACACCATAATGGAATTCTATATGTGATACTGCAGGTGGTTTTGTTGATACTGAGCTGAGACATGTAAAACATCTGTACTGTCCTCTAACCTGGTATTAACGGAGGCAGAGAGGTCAACTGTCCCAAACATCCCTTGTTGTTACATCTACACACTACACACACTGCAGTGGTTTAATAGCATAAAGACATAAACCTATCCCAACATATACATGTCTACATTCTGCAACAGCTTGAGTAACAATAAATACAGTACAAACACATTTCAGTAACGCTGAAAGAGAGAGAATAATCAGCTGCTTTCCTGTCATTTTGGCAAGTTTTTTTTGTTGGTGTTGTTGAACTCTACAGCTCAGTCTGAGCTTTCTGCAGTTTTGTTTCATTCCTGAAAACATAACAACAAGCTAACATCATTTACAGTCAGTAACATGACAACAGGTCGCCTTAAACACACATATTTGTTCCTATGAATTTTAGATGGAATCTTAAAGTTTGACCCCATGAGTGAGGGCTGTAGGAAATTTTCTGGCATAGGATTTATACTTTGAATATATATATCTCAAATAAATAATCTATATTACTTCTATTAATAAATTAATTAAGTTATATTCCGTTAGAAGTGATCTGAAGCTCCCTCCCTGTGCTCAAACACACATGGCGGCTGCTGGGGTCGTGGAAATTCTGGGACATGCCAGATAGTGACCATCAACTTTTTCTTTTGCAGATTAAGGAAAGTACTGAAAATTATTAGTTTGATGTCCCGAAGGACCTGGATCTAAAAATACAGTCATTTATAACATACAGATGGATTCAAAGGATCAAAACAGACTGATAGAAAAAACATTTAAGTACCTTGATGTTTTTTTGTAACATTAAAACAGACAGTGATAGACTGACATGGAATACTTATGTCATATTTTTTCATTTAAAGGGACAGTTCACCCCCAAACAAAATATATATATATTTCCCTCTTATCTGTAGTTCTATTTATCAATCCATATTGTTTTGGAGTGAGTTGCTGAGTGTTGGAGATGTCAGCCGTAGAGATGTCTGCCTTCTCTCCAATATAATGGAACTAGATGGCACTCAGCTTGTGGTGCTCAAAGTGCCAAAAAATACATTTAAAACCCAACAGCAATGTCTCTTTCCAAAAATCAAGACCTGCTTACTCAAGATAATCCACAGCCTTTGCTGTGAGCAGTTTCATGTAGGAACTATTTTCTTTTTACCAAACTACACCCGCCAACTGTACGGAGGTAAGGGGAAAAACATTTACATTTGATTTTGGGGTGAACTGTCCCTTTAAGTAAGTGCAGTAGTTCATAAGAAAATAGTGACAATGTTTAAAATGTCTTATCTTGCAATGTGAATTAATCTTTAAAAATATATCAGATGGACACAAAGTAGTCATCACTTTTTCAGGGTCAACCTTCCACCAAATATAACTCCAATCTGTGACAAGTTTTAAACAAACCTTGCTCAGAGACTAACATGACTGATGGATGTCAGAATAAATCCTGGAATATTTCTTCTTTAAGGTATCTTGAACTCAACAGCTGTCATTTTAATCTATCTTCAAACACTCTCCTGGCTGTTTGTTGATCTAAATTTAAAAACTGTCAGTGCACCATTAAAAGCGTTCCTCCTCAGACTTGTTCATACATGCTCACTCTCACACACACTCACACAAACACACTCCACAGAACAACAGACTGAATAGAGTATCCATACAGGCGTGAATATATTCTCGATGCATAGCTAATCAGCGTTCCCTCATTAATTATCTTAAGTAAAGTAAAAAATATTTTCCCTCTGTAGTGACATGTTTCTGTCCTACAGCTCAGCTTCCTGTTTAACAGTTATGAGACCTGAGACAAACTGCTCCACAGTTAGTTTCAGTGTGCAGGAGCATGCACAGGTTGCTTTTGTACTACGGGAGAGTACAAGTGTTAAAACAATAAATAAAAATAATGTATTAACAGTCTCACACAGTCTGTTTAGTGTGATGTTTTGAACTGACTCTTCTGCATTCAAAAGATATAAAAGGGTCTAAATTAGTTTTAGGGATGCTACTGAAATGGTGCATATCTGATCCATATGCAAACAAAGTAAAGCGATTTGCATCTCATTTATGTTCGCAGGAGAACAAGGTTACATGAAAAACTGAGCTTTCTTACCTGGTGATTTTGGTTTGGCTTCTGAGGAAGAAATATCAAACCACGGCTAAGTGGCTTCAGCTGATTGCTCTGTTTTCACACAGACAGTAAAACTCACCAACTTTGTGAATTTTAAGTTGTATCTTGTTAGAAAAGCAAAACCTTTCATCCAGGCTGCTCTTCAGCTGCGTACTGGTGAACCGAGGCAGTGTGACCCTGCTGTATTAACTCCACCTGTGTCTCCTGCTGTTGCCCTGGGACCAGTCAAAAGTAATAAAAAAACGGCACTCACAATACTCTGTCAATTCTACGAGTGCAGTTTTACAAAGCCAGCACCAGATCATAAGCACATCAGCAGGTACCTGCACCATAGTCTTCATTAAGTTTTGATATTTTCAACTGTACATCTACTGTGGGTGGAGCTTTACTGGTGAATTAAACATGTGTAAAGACAGATATCACACCTGTAAGGTTTTCTTTGAGGTCATTAAAACAGTATTGAGAACACTGTTCACTTTAAAATCTGATCATCATCAGACTTCATGTGGTTCATCAGTTCCCTTTGCCTTGAGTAATGAGCAGTTTGATACCTCACAGCGACATTACTGTATATACTAATGAATAACCCTTTAAGGGGAAAACTGTAAATCAAAAAACACTGTAAAGTAATAAAAACTGCACTGTTGTTGTGACACCTCTACCACTGTGACTTTCAATAAATACTTCTGATGAATACTATTGAATTATTGATGTATTATTGTACAACTGAAAATCTACGTCTTACCAGATGTTACGAAGATGATAATGCAGTTCTCTAACACGTCCAGAAGAGGGCGGTGTGATACTTTCCTGTGTAAACTGCCCTCCACAGAAAAGACAGAACTCTGGCGTGCTGTGACAAACTGAAAGGATCAACAGTAAACAGGTGTCAGACATCATTTTCCTGTTTGACAGCAGGTGAAGGAGTAACGCTCTCCCCTCCCTCCATGTGTCAGCGCAGCTTCCCAGTGGACGCTGATGGTTTGACTGGTTTTGTTCTGGCAGCTCGTGTGTGTGAAGCACTGTGTCTCTCCTGGCAGTGCTTTCATTGCTGTTTGTTGACTGTATGGCGTCTTTCTGTCCGCTCCTACATGGATGACTCCTGCTGGATCTGGATGTAGCAGGCCTGCAGCAGAGTCATTAAACTGAAGATTAAATGATGAAGGACAAACGACTGATGATAATGACTATATCATATAAACAAAGAAGCTCTGTAAGGCTGCACCATCCACTTTGTTTACTTACTGAATTAAAAAATATTGTAATCATATTAAAGTGTTGGTCCTATGAGCACTTGGCAAAGGCAAGTTACAATCAGCATGTTGCTTTAGCACCAACTACAGGCACAATACCATCAAAATTGAAAAGACTAAGTGTCTTCTAAATTTGTTTCCAACTGTGGACTACCTTCAAGAGATAGAGAATGATTATCAGCTGGTTAAAGCGTTTATTTGCAGCTCAGTCGATGTAACATATCGTCCGCTGTGCAGAGGATTGTGGGCCAGAACAGCCAGAAAAGCATGCTGGCCTGCATACTGCAAAATCGTACCAGATGTAGTGAAACATCCTGGTATTTTTGGCCTACTGCATTTGACATACGTTAGCAGATGGTTGAAGTGCGCTTAAAGTGGATGCACAAAAAGACTGGACCACTCTGAAAATAGTGGGTGTGGTGCTTTTACACATTTCCTTAATGGGAGCAATTGGAAAAAAGAAAGTGGTGCTTAGAAAAAAGCTTTGTAGACACTCAGAATCATCTGTGTATGTGAGTGTGTGTGCTGAGGCTCCTCACCTTCAGTGTGGTAAACATCAGTCCCATCTCTCCGTGCTGAATGTTGGGATCCATTAAATCTTCTATCAGACTGACCTCAGCTCCCAAGTTTCTGATCCTGCTGAGCAGAACGGCACAAACACAACATGTTATATCAGCAGCCTGCAACGTCTGCTCATCACTCCATGTTTGAAACACAACACACTGTCGTAATACTAAAGCCTCTTGTTTAAAGTGTGTCCGTAACACTGACCACACTGATCAACAATCTAGTTAGCTACAACTTGGCTACATTAACTGCATACAGTGTTTTAACTGAATGACAGTAAACAATAAATAAAGTGTGTGTGTATTTATATATATGGTAACACACCTTGCCCTGAGCACCACATAGAGAAAAAGAGGGAGCAGGTCATCCATGCACCACAGGAAGCTGCCATCCAGCATAGGTTTGACTTCCTGGGTCAATTCCTCAAACGTTTTCTGGATGACGAGGAGTTTGTCTGATGGAGTGAAGGTGGTGCTGCATGTGTAGGAAGACGTACATTATTATTTATACACAAGAGAATGCACTTTACATTTTGGCACATCAGATGAGGGGATATGTGTAACTAGTTTTGTTTTCAGTGCTGCTGGTAAAACTTTAAGAATGAGACTTAAATCATTATCTGCAAGTTTGTCGAAACACAATATTCCTTCAAAAAAGATGGCATATATTGCATGCAAGTTTTACCACACATTTCCAAATGAAGTTTTGATTGATGCAGAAAAAAAACACTCCAGGCTATATATCACAAGATCCACTAATTATGCAAACTGTTTCAAACACTGTAACTGAACTGTGCCATGTCTAACCATCAACTAAAACTTTTACTTTTGGAGTTTGTTGGGAGTGGTTCATGGCCTGGGAGCAAGCAGTCCCTAACAGGCTTCGGCCAGGGCAAAGAATATCTAAACACCACCAACAAATTCTGCTGTATTAAAGTAGGAATTAAGTGACATGTTGGACATGAACACAAGCTCCATGGGTCTGAATGATTTCCTGCTTGTATTAGGTCATGTCACATTTAATGACATCACTACTTAAGTTATGTCAGGTCACGTGGCAGCTACCTGATTTGTTGGAGTGTCTCTACAGCAGAAACAAAGCAGGCGTCTTTACTGCTGGACACAATCTGTCATAAGAGCAAAGATAACCTGTTATAGACGACAACACCACAGATGCAACAGCACACTTTAACCCTGTGTAGGAATCAAAGCTGCAGCATGAGGAGAAAATAGTACATTTATTAACTGACCTGCTTTTTCTCCCCCAGAATTGACATCCACAGCGGCCAGAACTTCCTACAAGACAAACAAAAAGTAAGCACACAGCTCTCAGCTGGTATTTTAACTATGCAGGGCTACATTGTTAATGTTAATGTCATTTCGAGACAGCGTTTGTGGGTGTACAAATAAATGTGTGTGTCTATGTGTGAATGTACACACTCACTCCTGCACTCCCAGAAAGCTGAGCAGTGACTGGTCGGGGTGTTTGTTGAGTCGGAGGATGCGCTCCCAGTACTGGGCCTCCTCCTGCTCCTCCTGCAGGCAGTACAGCGTAAAGAGAGGAGGGTAGAGTCTAGGGAGCAGCTGAGGGAGGAGCAGAGAGGAGCAGCTCACCACCAGAACGCCACTGGAGGACATGGTGGAGAAAGAGGAGGAGGAGGAGGAGAGAAAGGGAGATAAAGGTTTTAAGTAATACAACCTGTTTATTTTGGTAACACTGAGACAAGGTGACACATTTTAATAGGGATCCTTCTGACTGAGTATAACCATTGTATCTGCTCAGATATCATCACTGCCTCTAGGTCTATTTTCATATGTGTGTGTGTTCATGTATGTCTGTGTGTATTCTTAGGGCTCATTTATGCTCCCTTTACACATGAAAATGTATACGTCCGTTTCAAACGATGTTACTGTTACTGCCCACATACTTCCATGCGCCCTTTACGTTGGCATGGATGTTAACCAATATATCCACCAGGTGGCAGCCCAGAGTCAAAAGTTTATGACAACAACAAACTCAAAAACAAACATGGCGACTGTGGAGGAGATATTGATAATGTACCTCTTGCATAAAAGACAAAAACAGAGGAGGCGGTGGTCGGTGAGGCCGTTAAATACATCGCGACTGGAGGACGGAGAATTCTTTTCTCTAGTACTGCCGATGAAAGAAATTGAATTGTTATTTCTTCTTCGTGTCTCACTAGAGCTACGTATCAGGTAGTGACAGCAACACTGCCCCCACGGTTCCCGGTGGTACTGCTCCGTTTAGCTTTATGGAAACGTGCAGAAATACGGACGAAATGAACGCGGAACACTGACAGAAGGCTCCGTCCGTATCCGGATCCGTATTTAACGTTGAGCATAAATGAGTCTTTACACTCACCATTGCTCTGCTTTGTTAGAGTTGCGTCTGCTTTTTGATGGAGAGGCAGGAGGGTCTGGGATGATGCCGCCATCTTCTGGTAACCCTGGGAACAGAAACCTACAGGCAACAATAAGTGCTTTTAAGTAAAGTGTCTGAAATAATTTTTAAATAGACCATGTAAAGTACATTAGATGCATGTTTACAGACGGCTGTGGGCTGAACAGTTAAGACTCAAACAGAGAGCTTGAATCTACCTGACGATGCTGTAGAAATGTGTGAGGTAGGCCAGAACTTCCTGGACAGCCTGCCTGAGCAGCCTGCGGTTGGATCCCACACCAACGTAAGTCATCCTGTAGACTGTCACCAAAGTCTCCACCAGCCAGCCCAGAGGGTGGTGAGGGGTCTCACATGCCTGATACATAATCATGGTCATACAAACAGAGACATGCACACTTAAGTATTACAGCAACAAAACAACAGACAAAAGAACAAATGGTGTTTTCCTTTGTCTGAGACTAAGGCAGTACTGTACTGACCCTTCTTAAAGGGTAACCTCAGTATTTTTCAACCTGGACTTTTTTCCCCCCCATGTTTTTGGGACAATGGTCAATACTGGACCAATTTCAAAACTGTTGTCACAAAAAAAAAAGAATACTTCGCACATCTATTCCCAAACAGGTACGTAGGAGAGGGACGAGCAGAAAAAGAAACCCCACCACACTGTCTAAAGGCCAAAACACACCAGCAGCAAATGCTGCATGTCAAAAATTATGCGTTGGTGCTCCTGGATGTGCCACCCAGCGGCACTTTGCCCCACTGTCCTATTTCCAGCCTAGCTGACCCTGGAATTAAATTCATTTTTCCCCCACTCACTCTCTGCTAATACCAGCTCCGGTAGTAGATCTTCTCCTCTGCTCCTGTGACAACTCGACTCCTCTCCTCACCATGGATGCATAAAAAGAACTGTTGCTGTTGCTGTCTCAGGTGTCAAAGACTGGATGACAAGCGACTTGTTGAGGTCCAGAAATATTCTGAGCTAAACGACCCACAATCCCGTCATTATAAAGATGGTGGCCAAGTAGATATTGCCTGGCGAGTCATAGCTCCTCGAGATCGACTCTTCAGGTGAAAAATCAACTTTTATCAGGGGCTCTCCACACATGATTTTAAGCTAACGCAGAGGTGGAAGAGGTACAGATCTTCAGTAAAAGCAGTAATAACTTTGTGTGGTCATCTGTTAACAAGCTGCAGTGCTATGCATCCAATGTGTGCTAGAGGCACTTGACGCGTCACATGATGTGGCATGCTGCGGTGGTGTCGGTGTGTTTTAAGCTTAACTTGCAAAAATAATGATTTTAATGCAATGTTTCGGTAACTAGACCTTCATCAGGCGAAAAAACAACAACAAAAAAACCTTGATGAAGGCCAAATTACTGTAACGTCGCATTAAAAACTGTTGTGCCTATTAGTTACTGAGCCACAAAAAACATGGGAATATATGTTCCAGGTTTGAAAATACTTAAGTTTTCTTTTGAGGTACTTTGAACATACTTCTGCAAAAAGTACATTTCCTTATGTCTACTCCTTACAAAGGTTCCCTCTTCACTTATTCTCATCAGATGAAGCAAAATAGAATATCTACTTGACAGTTTATTAGTTTAGTACACCCAGCTAAAATTAATGCAGTCCAATGTAACAGTCCTGCAATAAATCAAACCCTCATGAAGGTTACCATGTTCAGTTTTGCTCAATATGTTTAAAGGTGTTGATTTAACTAGTTTGTGGTGCTGCTGAATTGTTTTATGATATATTAAGAGGTATTTCTAATATTTTGTCCACCAAGTTATAACAATAAGGGAGGACAAAACAGTAGAAGCACCTCTTGTTCGAGTAAATTTCCTTCAGGGCTGTTGTATCAGGCTGCATTTCATGCTTTCTACCTTACAAATCAATGCACAGATTATTATGGAGACAGAATTTTTATGTACAAAGCCACATGTACCTTGATGAGGTATCTCCGTATGTTGTCATAGTTTGCAGTGGTCACTGGTTCTCCATGCTGAGGAATAAACTCCAAACCCTCCAATACTTTACTCTGAGACCTGCTAAGATCTGGGCTGCAAAACACACACACGCAAACATATACTCACCAAATCTGATATACAGCTGTATATTTAAGAATGGTATGACACCATTTACATTTCCTTCTGCGTGTGTGTGTGTTGCTTTATCTACCTGTGCCGTCGTGCAGTTGCTATAGTGACAGCGATGTTGTCCCAGGCTGCAGTCCTCTCTCCTCTCCCAGCAGCATCACAGCCCAGTCGACTCCAGCATTCATCAAACACACAGAGCCACCTCTGACCTGCTGGCACCACGTACTGACCTGTCCTGCTGCACACGCACACATTAAACCTTTTTAAAATGCCAAACACAACACGAGCACTAGATTACACAAACCCTGTCTTAGGCTTGAATATCTTGTTTCCAGAAACACCCACCAGCCTGACAATAATTTTCACAATAGATAAACACAACACACATTAAAATTCGCACAAAGAAAAGGCACAGAGATGACTACACATAAACAGCTCACAGACCACAGGACTAGCAGCGCAACACAAGTGCTTCACATTACATTTGTAAAAAAACATCAGCTCAGGATGCATGTTGTTTTTTAAGAAAAGTACAAAGTAATACTCACAGCAGGCTGTTTCTCTCTTTGTTCTCTGGCTCATCTACGGCTGGTTTGATGTACGTTCCAACCACCTTCAGCCCTGCAGTCCACTCTCCACTGAACAAGCCCTCCAGACAGTCACCGTTAGCCAGGGACAAAACACCCTGAGCAAGAAGGGAAGAGGAGAAATGATTGTGTTGGAAGTTATGTTCAACGTTTTGCAGTTGTAGAAGTCAAGTTTTTTTGGTTACTGAATAGGACCTCTTGCTAATGACGTAAACCATTTTGCTTTGATAACTGTGAGATTTTAAGTTGGGATTAAGTCTAAAAGACAAGTAACTTAGTTCCCAATTACTCGTGTCCTAAACGAGGAAACCAAGTTACATTACAAAGTTGTAAAAATCATTAGACATGGACAAGATACTGTTATGGACATACATAGCCTCAACACACAGATAAAAAGTGACAGAGATGATTCCTACCTTCCCATTGACAGTCCAGTCATCAGAAAACTCCCCATGTAAAGCCGTGTCATCATCTGACACCAACAGACCTGGACCCTGATAGAAAACAATAAATAAATGAACAATTACATGCTCAATTTATTCATTTTTTATTTATTTATTTTTTTTTTTAAAGATATTTTTTGGGGCATTTTTAGCCTTTATTTGATAGGACAGACACGTGTGAAGGGGAGAGAGAGGGGGAGTGACATGCAGCAAAGGGCCACAGGCTGGAGTCGAACCCGGGCCGCTGCAACAACAGCCTTGTACATGGGGCGCCTGCTCTACCACTAAGCCACCGACGCCCCGCTCAATTTATTTTTTGGGTGGATTTTTGCCTGAAGTCATCTGGTACCTACAGCTCATGTGAGAAAATCAAAACTCAGTGGCGCCACCCCCTGTCTTTAAGTGGCACTACACATCAAAGCATCCTCATACAAATTATCCACCTGCTTTTATTTCTTAATATATTTAATAGGTTTGTGTCTTAAAATAGAATTAAAGATAATAAATATGACATGATAAAAACAGCAAACCTATCTAGATTATCTTATATCATAAACACTATTTTCTGGACCAAAATCTACAGGTGATCCAGGTTTAAAGCTCCTCAGACAAATGTCATTAATTGTTGTGTGCATTTGTATCTCTTTACATCCAGAAGTCTGTACTTTACGGTGAACTTACACACATCTTGTTGTCTCTGAAGGAGCCTTCAAAGTACACACCGCACTGGGTAACAACCACAGCGTTGCCATGCCGCTGCTCGTCCAACCACAGTCCCATGTACTTCTCACCTCTGGGAAGAGCACATGACAGCAATGAGTGGTGACAGTTATTGAGTTGTTGTTATTCAGTCATTGCACATTCAGTAGAGACAGGAAACCGTGTGTTTGCAGAGAGGACTTTACACTTACATTTAATAATAAGAGCAAACTGTGCTAATAATTCACCAGCTGTCAAATACATTTTTCAGGTTATGTTAGGAAATGCACATGTTCTCCTAAAATTGAAAATAGTCTTTTTTTCTTAAATAGCTGTTTTTCTCAAGATTGAGCAACATTCCTAAGAGTCACAGGAGTCAAAACCATTAATCAGACCTGGTGATGTCATCACACACTCCATATCCTGTCTTCCTGCCGTGGACCCAGTGGCCGATGAAAACACTGGAGGACTTCTTAGCCAGCTTACCGGAGCTGAGCATGCCGTAACCGTGCCGCTGCCCATCACAGAAACAGCCCTCGTACACCTCACCATTGGCATACCTAAGCAGAAGACGACATGTATACACACACAGATAGTGGACGACTGTATGTTAATGTAAGAGGAGGAAACCACTAAGGCTGACAGGCTTGTGGGTGTGGGAGTCAGAATGATGACCAAAGACTTAATATTGCTTTAACACACCTGCTTGGGGTCAAGTCCTGCTTCTTAACACCAGACATGACCCCTGTGACTCAGTTATTCACAATTCGTACACAGGCCTTTTGTCCCAAGCTTCTCTCTATGTTACTACAAAGACAGTAAAAAAACAGTGTACTGACTTGTACTTGCCGAAACCATGGATCTTGCCATCTCTCCAGTGTCCTTGATAGCTGTCTGCCTTGTTCAGAGCTTTGTTAGGTATTATACACTCTCCTTAGCTGAGAAAAAGAAAGAACAATTGTTCAGAAATGTTGAAACAGCAGTTAATCACACAGATATGAGTAACAACAACCAACATCTGGTTTCACTATTTCAGGCATTCTAGATGTTTGAACGTAACAGGATTAAAAATTAAAGCTGGTCACCTCCACTATTTTCTGTTGCTGCAAGTATTTTCATATTATATTCTCTGATCACAGGTCTCTGTGTCATATTGGAAATGAACAACATTAACCAGCTCTTTAGTACTTCAACAGTTTAATGTGTACTTACCCATCCTCCTGTCCATTCTTGAAGTTTCCGCTGTAGGTCCGTCCATCCGGCCACTTCATGGTGCCTCTGTAAAGGCAAATACATTTAACTATCTATGCACAAAGCAAGTTTTACACTCTGTGGCCATTTAATTAGCTACTTCAAGGTAGAATAAACTGGATTCTTTATTTTAACAAAGTCTGTATTCAGCAATGCTGGGACATTGTTCACAGTCCAAATTTGACTTCATTTACTCCCTGCACATTCTGTGACTGATCATTCATTCACTGTCACACTGTTCTATTTGCCCCTGAAACCATCTTATGGTACCCCACCTGTGGTTTTGCATTACTGTTATCCTACTAGGTATGAGCTGGGAGCAGAATCAGAGTCAGAAATGGTTTATTGTAAGTAGGTTTGCACACACAAGCAATCTGACTTGGTGATTTTGGTGCACCACAATCCACACAGTGCGAAAGTATAAAAATACATATCAAATAAAAATCAGACAACAACAATGTGTTATTAAAATGCCTGTTTTTAAAGTGTATTCTTCCTCATGGTGCATTCAAGGACACTCCGATGTCCAGTATGTTCTATTGGGCTGACAAAAACAATGAACAAACTTGAAAATACATGTCATGAACACACCCATATGCAAACATTATTCAGTACACACTGTAGCTGCAGAGATGGAGATGAGATAGGCACACTTACATACACACAAACACACACACACACATATACACACAGAGAAACAAACATGCTCTCTAACCTGCCATGAACTCGTCCTGCCAGCCAGCCCCCGGTGTACTTGGCGTCTTTAAACCGACCCTCTCCAGTGAACGAGTAGGAGGCTGTGCGAGACATTGCTGTCACCCCCGGCGACGACCCCTGACCTGCACCACCCAGCACCTGATCCACCGCCTGGTTAAGAGACCGTAGCCACTTGTTCTGAAGAGAGACAGAACACAAAAGGGAAGTTTTTCAGAAAGAATGGCCGCATGAAAAACAGGCAGAAAACAGCAGGGAAATCTGAATTACAGATGGTAACATCTTAAATATTAATCATTATGCGTAGACAGAAATTTCAGTGCCTCCTGACTAAAGTCACAAAAATTTGCTGGTCATATTTGCATTTCCAATGGTGCCAGTTTCATACAAGTAATTCAATCAGATGTTTAAGAAAAGAAAATCAGATGCAGATAATTGGTGTGTCTCAATTCAGTACCGGTACCAAACGGTACCTTATTTCGGTACTTTTTAACCCTATGGGCCCTAGGCCTTTTTTGGGGGTATTTTTTACTACCTTTACTTTTAAGCTCATATCACAGTCATTATAAAGGCTACATACACACGCTATATCTTGTTTTTTCAGGACAATCTGGGCTAACCAGATTTGCCATCATTTCATGTCCTTCTATGTGCCTGTATTTTATATTAATTTTATATCAATGAAAAAAACAAATCTGTGTGCCTAAAATCTTACATTTTTACATGTATCTCACCATGGCAAGTTGGAAGTTGACATATTCTGCCATATATGAAGAGTGGAGACTCTCTGGAATCTGGCAATATAAGAACCATGATGCTGGGACATTCTGTCACTTCACAGCTGTCCAAAACATGTGGTTTGTGCCAGGCGGACATGATTGCCAGTATTTTTTCATTATTGCAAGAAATTCCATTGACTCATTCACAAGTCAAAAATGTGTTTTATCTGAACGAAACATGCAAAATTTACATCTAAGATCATAGAAAAATAGTCAACCAAGTGCAATGATGTCCTCCAAGATAATATTTGTTTTTCAGTTTCAGTTATATATTGGGGAGACATTTTGGGCATTGGTGGAGGGACACACATGTCCCCCTCAATGTAAATGGTGACTACTGCCCTGTCAGCATGCATAATTAGGCTGCAGTTGTCTGGGTGCGCAAAGGTGAAGTGGCTGGTCTTGTCATACAAAGTTTGATGGAGTGTCAACTGGACAATGTGGAGATGTTTGCATCTTGAAAGCTGGACTACAAATGTGGATAGACAGGGAGAAACACACGCAAGCCTAAGACGTGGTAAGATACGATATTCCTCACTATATGAAGTGACTGACAACAAGATCTGTATAATGGATTGTAAAGAAATTCGTCAGGTTTTTATGTTGTAGACAATTGATCTGGATTTATAGCGTGATGGGATGACAGCACAATGATGTGTGTGGTCCTGCGCTTTCATGTGATATGCGTGGCATTTCTGTGCGAGCCTGTGTTCGCGAGTAATCCATCCAAGAGTAATGTGTGTGCAAAGCTGTATAAAAACTCTGTTATAGATCATTTTATTGTAATTTTTCGCTGTGAAAACATTGGATTACCGACAAGTGCTTGGCCTTGTCGGAAAGCTACAATTCTGCTGTTTCCGCTGATATGCATGGCTTCTCGCTAGGACGCACGGTCGCGGAGAAAATCCACAGAGAAGAACGGGTGTGAATTTGGACGCACTATGCGTCGTTCGGGCCCATAGTCTAAACTTCTCAGTTTCAACATTTTATTGAGAACATTTAGGAACAGTGCTGCACGTTAACTTTTGTCTGCACATTGTTTTTGTCGCCATTGTTGCTGAGTCTGAGGTGCGAGTCATGCGCTCTCGCTCCGCCTCCACCTCAGGTACCGAAATTTGGAACCGTTTCATTTTAAGTGAATCGGTACTCTGTAGTACCGACGTGAATCGGTACCAAGTACAAAAAGTACCGAGTTTCGGTACCCAACCCTATCTATCACTGAAGCTTGAATATCTCTGAGATAAAAAACTAAAAGTATTTATCCGCGTATTAGCAAAGTTGTTTTGTTGTCAGCTGTTGAATATGATGCTTGCAGCAGATGACCAAATAAAATACAAAAAGCTATTAGCAATACAAAACCCAAGTCCCATCACTATTATCACAAAATTTCTTAATACTTATTAATATTGAAAAAACAATGACAATATTATTCTACATCAAGCAGCTAGCTACAATATTTTGTTCATAATATTGATTTTTTTCCTAAATTTGGAGCATCATTTGCAAAACACAGTTTGCAATAAAACTTTATGAATGACACACCAAGCTGTGATAAGTGGGTATTAAGTGTATAAACTATAAATGTACCTTCTCTTGTGGTGTCGAGGCCACTACAGTGAAACTCTCCTCTGGACATGTGATTTTGATGGCATAGCTGAAGACACACAACACAAGGGCAGTAATAAACGTCATCTGTATCAAAGTTCTTAAAAAATGCCACAAAATGTTTTACAAGGTGAGATAATGCAAGGGGAAAAAAATCAAAGTACAAAGAGAACTGAATATATTAAATTGGGGTTGATAACACAGTAAGCTAAATAGTGTGAGATGTTGTCATTTGGAACAAAAATGTACGATACCTGTTTTTACTAGTTTTGGGGAATTAAAAAAAATCTGACAAAATAGATGGATATAACAAGTCAGAATCTAATTTGAAGCATGTTGATATCTGGGCTTAGACTCAACCTGCGTCAGGTACAATCAAGATCCAGCTGCTGTAAGCCAGCTAAAAATCATTTTTCAATCTATGACACAGGCATCAGCCTTAACTACTGTATATGATGTAGTTCCAGGGACAGATCCAGATATCAGTGATGCAGCAAGCCACCACAGAGCACTGAAGTCCCTTATATTGCAGTTCATCTACTAACCACTAGACGCTAAATCCCACAAACTGAGTTATTAAAAAGTCAGTGAAGAGGACTAATTTAACTTCCTCCGATATGTGTCTCTGAGGAAATGGTTACCTGGATATGGTTTACAGAGAGGTATGTTTCATGCCAAGTTTATTTTAGTTGACAGCCATAATGTTTGCCTGTTACTTGACCAGCTTCTGCTCCATTCAAACCAATGACCTGATAGGGATTTTCTGGGTGGTAAATTCAAAATCCAAGATTTTAAAAAAATCCCTTCAGACCTGGCTGACATCACACTGTGTCCAAACCATGGTGGGGCTTTAGTGTAACACTACCATACATGTGGACGTGAGTAAGATGTCCTGTGTTCATTACTCATCATCATAAACACTGATGTCTCACTGATTTTACTGTAACATCCACTACTTTTTATCAGCATTAGTCATGTTATGTTGACATTCATTGTCTGGATTAACAGAAAAAACACAAAAAAGACTCACAGTCCACTGCTGTCATCAGTGACTGGTTTCACCCACAGACAGCTCAGAGGGTAGACGTGATGAGTGGAGAACTGCAGAGAGAGACAGAGCAGTGGTTAAGCTTTTTTATCATCATCTTTCTGCAGGTGGGAAACACTGATAGTTTTCACATTATCTGAGACTACCAAATCAGTGTTTTGGAAATTACCAAATCCAGATTGTGTGTGTGAGTGAGAGAGAAATGACCAATAGATTCTTCTTCGTGTGTCTCATAGTAGTGATGCATTTTCTAGTGAATTAGGGAAGTTACACAAAACATCACAAATGTTATTTCACTTTCACTTTTATGTGCATGTGAGGAATGTTGATTGAGATGTCACTGAACACCACGTCCTGACTCTATTACAAAAATCACATATTTGTCAATAGTTTCCTCCATGGACTTATTTCATTAATGTTTCCACATAACTTCTGTTTTGTTAAGTTAATTTAACTAAACCAGAACACACTAAACCAAACGTATACTTCCCAAAGCATACATTAGGTTTGTTGATTAACTAATCTCAAGTAAGTTTCAATCCGGAATCTAAAAATGTACAGTGTGCTTAGGGAATGATTAGCATCAGTGGCTAGTATATGTGATTCATTGATAACGTGCTGAATGTGACAAACACTGATCCTTTCAGTTTAACTTTGTCCGGTTTAACTCAAAAAAGTGGTGGTCAACTATCAAATTCATGAGGCAAGCTGCTTATAAATGTGCAATGCAGAATTAACACAATGTCAAAGGTCTACTACACAACACAGGACATGAACCCAACACCACAGGGAGAGAAACAGGACAGGTTTCACCATCATCTGCTGTCTATTAACACACCGGCCCACACCAAACACATAGGAAGGCAAACTATTAGTCAGGGATCAGTAGCAAACTGGTTTATACACACAGCACAAGTCAACAGTAAATATATTGTCCTCCAAGTTGTCGTGTGGACTCATCAGTGAGGTTGTTGTCTCTTGCATCACATGCTGTTGAAAGCTACAATGCAGTGGTGAGTTGCATCCTTTCACACCAGAAGGAGCTACTGCAACTATGACCTAATCTATTTTCACCACTAACTGATGAACGTTACTGTTGCAAACACCTCTAAACTAAAATCCACACACTCACACTGCAGCCTGTTTGGTAGCGGCTGAAGCTAAGAACCAGTAATCAGGGCAGTATGTACAAAATAAATGTTAACACAGGATATCTGCAATGCTACGGTATGCAGTATTACAAAGCCAGATGTTTATTCAGTTAGTCTACCCTCAGTGAGGTGGACAAAGTATTAACAAATAACACAACACTTACTTTCAATAAATTATTCCAGTAAAACATAAAATTAACATTTTAACTATTCATGAAAGTACGATTTAGTTAGGGCAGATGCGCCTACTAAACTGGCACCTGAAAAATGTGTTGGGTTTTGTATGAACAGTTTCTTTAACATCACATATAGTCCTGTGTTAGCATTCATTTATTTGCTTACTAATCCCATGTGAACCTGTCAGAGTGTAAGCACTGAACAGAGGCCAGCCAACCCATGCTGCTGCAGCACAAAGCTCAGTGTGGTTAAACTGGGTAAACTGGTGTCAGATATACTTACAAGGTTTTGAGAGGGAATGGCACCCTGAGTGAATGAAAGATACAGTGTACAAATATAAACATTATCTGCAAAACATGGCAGATGTCCAGAAACACCAGAAAACCGATCCAGTGTCTCATCTGAACAAGACTAACACAGAGCCTGTGGATTGTGAGGTTAATTTAAAAATATTTCTTAACAGATGGGTCCATTGTGCTCACTCCGCCCTGCTGTGGACACTGTTAGCAAATCATATTTTTGTATCAACTTCTCTTTGTAGAGATTTACTGGTGTCCATCGCACCAAGTAGAAGAAAAAATACCATCATTTAGCCTTTTTGTACAGGTTTTCTGTGTTGCATGTGTGTGTACCTGCGTGTGCACCAGTGTGTCATTGAACAGTATGAACCAGTGGTTGGAGAACCGCCCGGCGTTTTGCAGAGTCAGAGTTCTGTTGCTGCTTTCACACACCACACGACGCTGCGGGAGACGCAGGACCTCCTGATGAACAAACACACATATGTTTGCTGATTCAAATCAAACAAAACAACTGTGCGTTACACTTCAGAGTAGATTTAGTAGAGGGGCATTCTGTACTTATGAATTAGACACTTGTTGAGACTTTCTGTACCACTCAGAAAACTAGTCAAAGAAAATCTACATCATTACATTTGTAGCTTTAATCTGCATATCAATGCAGTCAGCTGAAATCCTTCACTTTTTGGTGACCTTCAACTAAAGTTCCACGAAGGCTGTCATTTGGTTTCCATCTGAGCACCCCTCTATTTAACATATCTGCTTAGTGAATTGGTTTGAGACCTCAGAGATCATTTTAAGGGTATATTCTCTTCGTCTTTTGTTTATCGTAGTTTGGCAATGTTTGGCAACTCTAAATGTCTTCTCACCACAGTTCAATCAGGAAGAATGATAGCAGATTTAAATAACACAGAGTTGTGCTCACAGTAGTTTTTCCAGAGTGGGTCTTCCAGAAGAGGAAGGTTGTCTCAGCCTCCTTCTTCTTCCTCAGCAGCGACATGGACAGGGAGTCATACTGACTACAACCCTGTTGCAGGCACTGATATTCTGTAGTTAACTGCAGGGGAAAACAAAGTGAAAGAGGTTTAAATTTATTCACTTTTTTAATGTGAGGACATAAAGGAGAGTCCATCTGGCCAGCTCTTACAAAAGTGTACATCTGTTAACAGATCAGAGTTCAGCCTGACCACTGCAACAAATCTGCCATTTCAATTCTGCCCACAAAATGAGGAAGATAGAGAGGGATATTTCTACTCCGCTGTAATAAATATGATGAGGACTAACTTCATTAAAATAACAACAAAGTACACAAGAAAGCGTAAACCTCGGCCAAGACGGAAACCTTCTCAAAATGTGCTTTTTGTAATAGCAGAAAATATAGTATACAGTACGTCACATTGCTCCTAAAATATCCACTCTCAAGAGCTTGAAGGAACAATGAGTATGTTGAAGAGACTGAACAACAATTAATCTATTAAATAATCTATTAACTGCTCAATTCAGAAGTTAAGGCTCATTCTCTTCATATGTTAACAAGGAAATAAATGACTGTTAAGCTTTTATTTGTCATTTTAAAAAAAGTCTTTTGTTTAAGGCTAAATACCTCTAATACTTATGTGATAATTGTTGTTGAGTATTTATGTTATATTATTTGACCCACAGGAACTTTGTTTAATTGTAACAATACACTTAAAACTTGTTTTGTTTAATCATTCTTACTATATCTCTTTCAAGTCTTTATCTAAAAACAGGTGTTGCAAAATGGGGAGCATCTTACATTTGAGCCAATACAAAGACAGTAATACATTACAGTATGTCCAAAGTTACTCAATCATGGGAAACAAAGACATTTACAGAAAGTGAAAGAAAGGAGAAAAAGGAGGAAGATCAAAAGAGCATTTCTCTCCGCACCACGTCGTAACAGGCTGCCAGTTTGAGCAGGACTCGACTGTACTGGTGGAGCTGCTGCAGAGGCCAGTACAACAAGGACACCAGGTCAACATCACCACTGGCAGACTGGTCTGACACACACAGCTGAGCCAGCGTGGTCTGCTTAGAGCCTAAACACTCGCTGGACAGAAACACACAGAGAGATACAAAGAGATATAGGACACTTTTAGGACTCATTATCTTCAGCATTTTCATCTAAATGTGTGTTTGTTTTCAGCTGATGGGAGCTAATCCATTTTCTTGTATGAAAACTTGCTTTCTGACTGCACAGAATTGCTTCCTGTGTTTTAAACTTATATGTTTAGGGGGAAAACTACAGAAGAGCTGGTTATTTAGCATGAGCATGATCATCTGAATGTGTGGTGAATGTTTTCTGTGCTTACATTAAAATTGTCTTTTGACCAGAGGTGCACAGTTGCTGGAGGCCTCCGTAGTGGCACTTGCACAGGCCTAGTAATTAATGTGCATTTTTTGGGCGAGGCCAAGTGAAGTGTGCTGTAATATGCAAGTGAAATGTGTGTAGAAAAATAAAGGAGCTCACAGTGAGAGTTTATGGAGTGATTGGAATCCACCCATCACCTGGAAGTTACCTACTGAAGAACAATACCTGGAGAGAGACAGACACACACAGAGAGACGGAGAGATGTTCATTTGGTTTTTAGACTCAATTCAACTACTGGATACAATATAAAACTTCAAAAACTACTAAGTCCTTGGTGAAAACAACTTGTGCCCTCCATTTTATTATCAGCAGCATTCTTACTTTATATTTTCCAACAACACGTCCACTCCTTGCACTATCTACTGTCAACAGAAACTGTACACTTTGATTTTATTTGCTCTGAAAAAACAGAGCCGCCTTCCTGGTTTGAGTCTTAAACCCATGTAAATGATTTTCCAGATTCTTTCAAACAAGCCCAAAGAGTAGAATACTGTAACTGAGGAAACAACGTTGTTTGGCTACAGTCTGGAAAAGAATAATTAAAAAGTTATGCTTTAAGTTTGAGACAAATAATATAAGCTGCTAATCATAATAATAATAAATTATATTTTTATAATAATTAGAGCCACAGCATTTGCCTATAGAGTGACTGCCTGGTTATATGAGAGTTTAATACAGTCTTTGTAATGAACTGGCACAAAGAGAAATGAAGTGCAATGACATAAATGACAGTAAGATTAAAGCACACAGAAAGAGTTACACTAAGAATAAAATGCATACTAAAAGAAAAAAGATTCAACAAAGAGCAGGCAGACTGGAATAAAAATGTATATTTGCAATAATAAACATTTTGAGGATGTTTGAATTAATAATTGCAGAGTGGGCTTTCTGTGTGCTGTGATGAAAAGGTGAACCTTACTCTTTATAAATGTCCAGAAAGTGCTCAGTGTGCGTCAGCAGGGAAAGGGAAGTGACATCACAGGCCTGCACATCATGCAGGAGGTAGCTAAGTGACGTGGAGTGTCGACCGATCAGGATGCTCAGACGAACAAAACTCTCACAGAGTGAGAAGAAGAGGTGAGTGCATGGCTCACCTAATGACGGGGACACACTCTCTGTGAAGGAGAACACATTGACACACACATTTTAAGTTAATGCATTTACTATTACTGCATTTATTAGATGCTAAAATCATGCATGTCAAAGACTCATTTACCTATAAAAAAAAAAACATTCAAATTCCAATATTTAAAACCCACGACATTCAGGGGGTCAGAGGTGGAAATGTAGAGTCAACAAAGAAGGAACCAGTTGAGAGACGCTCTCACCTCTATTGCGTAGCGGTGTGAGGAGAAGCTTCTTGACGCTGCTCAACCAGCAGTAGAACTGTCTCTCTCTGGAGGCCAGCTCATGGATAGCCGAGATAAAACCCATCATATTCTGGTCTGCCAACACCACACAGGTCTGACCACCGCTGCGCACAGTACTGATGTAACCCATCTACGCACACACACACAGAAATAAATGTCAGACATATAATAACAGCATGATAATGTTTTTGTGAAGTTTTCTGTCACTCCAGTATTTTGAGGATCCTCTCTGTTGTTTTTAATGTTTTGAAATGTTTCTCAGATTTCTCTTGACGTTCTCCCTTTGTTAAATGTGTGTCCACAATATTTTAAAATGGCACCTGTGAAGAATTACTGTCCCTGTGTGATGTACATATCTGTTGTCAGACAAAGACTCCTGCCAATACCAAACATGATCTTTTTTGTCATATTTTTTAACCTTAATCATTCTGAAATATGAGAAATATGTACAAATAAATACGCTCCAGTGTTGCAGTTGGAAAAGTGCTCTGCTCATCATCTTCCTTAAGGCCTTTACACATTGAGGGTGATTTTTTGTGTGATTAATTTGCATGTCAATATATATTTTTGAGCTGTGATTTTTGTTTTGAGTACTTTCACACAGAACATGAATATTATATTGCCAAAGAAAGACAATTTTTTTTAGAACAAGGTAATTTTTTTTTTTTAGATTTTGCACCATGAATAAAGGCATCAACTAATCATGTTGTGTAAAGCAGATGTCATATCTCAATGTCATGACAGTGGCAGACCTGTTGATCTTTTGTGTTTCTCAGCACCATGTATCATATGGCAAATAGTCTCGCTCACCAGACCTTTCTCAAGAAAACAAAGGTCTGGCTGGGTTGACTCTCACTTTAAGATTGGAGAAAAAACCGCCCCGGCTGCTTGTATTTCTTTAAACCAATCACAATCGTTCTTGGCGGTGCCACAGCAACGGTGCGCTTGCAAAAATATTGCCGGGGGGAAACAGGTTTTGGTGTAACACGCCCACAAAAATATCGCTTACAGGACGCAAACCATGGCAGAAAAATGGCTACATCCCCGCAAGATCAAACACCTCAAAAGTCAGTAAAGGACGTGTTGAAAACTGCAACCGGAGGTGGTAAGGCGGGACTTCAGCGGGTGGCTCGTTCCGCCCAATGAGAGGCTGATCTCTGCAGCGAACTTCCACCCACTCAGACTATATGGCAAAGGACATAAATATTATAAAGACAGCGAACTCAAGGACAACGTGTGGAGTAGCATCACCAAACAACAGCATGAAGGCTCTGTAGTCCAAACCAAGACCGCAAACATTATTATTCCTCTTAACCTTGACAAAAGCAGCACTTACCAGATCTGCTCCTTTTGTTCTTTCACCTTTCACAATTAAAGCCCTAGACATATAAACTGTGTAAAAGTTTACCAGAAGGCACTAAAATCCACTCAAAGCGAAACTGTAGAACAAGTGTTGCAACTGTAGCAAAGTCACATCACTGCCGTTATTGAAAAATTTTGATGTGCCCCTGTGTGTAAAGGCCTTTACTATCAGTCCTGTTGAAAGAAAACCACAGGCACTTGTGTTTTGTACACACAAACCTCTATACATGAGGGCAGCAGGGTGGGTCTGACTGTATAACTCTCTGCTCTGCTGGGTGACCTCTGGCTTGACCTTTGACTCTGTTTTGACCTCTCAGTCTGCGCTGACGTTGGCTCTTGCTGCTGGCCGCAGTACAACAGGACCGGCTGGACACATTCTCCATCAGCTAGGAGAAGGGAGTGGCTCTGACCGGCGGACACGTCCCAAACCCGAAGACCATCAGAGAGCTACAGTGGCCAGCCAGGGACAAAACACAGACTGCTATTAGGAGATTTACTGGTTTGTTGTAGATCTGTTAGTGTGACTACAACATGATTGATCTACTGTATATTTTTACCTGTTACCTGGCATACAGTATACTGTAGACTAACTCTTTCCTTATCTCTCCCTGTGATTCCTACATATGTGCATAAATATTCATATGACCTCGAGTATGTTTTTACAATATGATCTTCACCCACCTAGTGATTACACTGATATGCTCATTTATACTTTCCAGTCATACATTTCTGTGTAATATGCTGACAGGATATGGCATACATTTATTGATCTATTGACTAACTGGCTCTGTGAATGAAGTTATACCAGTGAATAAGCAAAGAAGAAATAAGCATTTCAAGAAATAAATAATATATGAGTGAACATGTAAAATACAGTCTGAAAGTGGTTGAGCACTGAATGAATGAAAGAACAGACATGCCTGACCGACAGGCTGCCGTACCTTTGCCTGTTGAGGTACAGTGACAGGACTGTTGACATGACCGAGCTGTCCACACATGTTGCTGCCCCATGAGAACACCTATAAAAAACCGAGGTAAGTTAGCTGGTGCAAATGTGTGTGTGCTCTTGAGACTTGATTTAAAGCTCAAGGTTACACTTAGGTCAGGGTAAAGCATGTAGTTGTGATGGTTAAGGAATAGTGTCAGGGGCTTGGGAGCATATTATGTCAGTGAGAGTTCTCATACAATCTCCTGTGCGTGTGTGTGTTTCTGTTACCTGGCAGTGAGCGGTGAGAGCCAGTGAATGGTGTGACCCTGCGGCGACTTTGATCACCTCCTCGCCTGTCAAAGACTTGATACACAGAGGCTGGAGTCTGGACACATACACACACACAAACACACAAACACACACACACACACACACACACACACTGTGACAGCTTATCTACACTGGTGGCGTTTCAGCCGCGTTTTTAAGTTGTCCATCTGAGAGGCACGTCTGTACAGGCCATGTAACGCTTGGGTTTCACTCCTACTATATAAACATAAATGCAACCTAAAGTGTATTTTTATGCTTTGGGTTAACGCATGTAACTAACTAACTCTGTCCTAAACCCCTCCTGTCAAACAAGCACTGACATATGAACACACTTCATACAGTATCTGTTCAATTACAAGAATTTCAATCATCCCGATTGCGATGTGACCCCTATACCGTTATATAGCTGCAATACTATGAGAATCACTATCCTGTTTTCTTTGCAAAAACCTTTTGGGCCTTTAAAGCCCTTAACCCAAAGTGCTGACATGACTGTAACATCATGGAGTTTTCAGATTGGGCATTAAAGACTGAACCTCCAAACTGGTTGCAGGACAAACTGTGATAACGACAGCATACGTCATATTATTTTCTCATATTTTTTTCTATGTGTGTGTTTATGTGTCCACACCTGGCGAGCTGATCTCCATGACCCAGTTGTCCCTCAGACCCGCGGCCCCAGCTCCACACTTCTGTCTCCAGAGATGGCAGCCCGTCTCCAGCCTCCTCCGGTGCTGCAACCTGGGTCCGACCAGCAGAGGGTGGCCTGCAGGCACAAGGCCGCCGTCGCCGTGGAGACCCTGAAAGAAGAACACATGATCTAATGTAAAGTCCTGGTAACAGTGTTGTTCGAACCAACTGAACCATCACCTGCTAGTAACATTTGAGCATCTGTCAAGACTGTGAATTCACTTCATCTGTCATACCTAACAACAGCCACTACAAACAGAGGAAGCAGATGATGATGATACTGCAATAAAGGAGGTATAAGACACGAACAGAAAAAAATTTTGGTATAAACACGCCCTAGTGACTTGCCCTAGTGACTTAGTAACCTTTCCTGCAACAAACTTGTAAAACCTTGAATCCTCAAAATAGTCAGCAGTGAGCTGTGTGAATCTGTTGAGCTGAGGTAAGCAGGCACAGAGCAGGATATCAATGTAGCGACAACAGCAGAGGAAAGCAGGTTGAACTAAAAGAAACACACAGTAACTTAAGTCAAAATGAAGAATATCAACATGAGATAAGTTGCGTGGAAGATAGTGGAGATGTTATAAACCCCACTGTTCAGCCACACTAGAGCTATGCTTGGGCTTTAAGGGATTTATTGGTTAACAATAGGAAAAATAAATTGTGGTTTCTGTTAAAATAAATTGATTTAGAAACAGAAAATGAGAGTGAAAGGGCTTTCTGGCAGAAAACCCTCTACACAAACTTGCGTTCAGCCATATTTCCTATTAAGGCTGTCTCAAACTTAACAACATAAATATTGTAGGTGGGTCTCTTTGTATTTCCCATTGAAATGTTTTTCAGTGTACGTGAACCAATGCAATTCCAAAAAAAAAAACAAACAGTCAATATTAGACAGAGATTGTGTAACATTTCTCTTTTCTGATGAGAAAAAAGGATTCAGGAAGACAAAAAAACACTGGAAAATTGGACTGAATGTTGAGAAAGTATAGCCCCGCCCGGCCCAAACCCCGCAGGTAGTGTTGGGCCCAATCGGGTTTGGGCAGAGATTCAAAGCTCTAAGCCACACAGGTAATAAATTATTTACTGCTATTCCATATCTATATATGTGAAAAATACATGAAGACTTGGTGATTACTAAAACTGAAAAAAGTCTATGTGCTGCATGGTTTTAAGGTCTGTTTTGACTTTCACTCTGATGCTCCTGAAACTTTTGGCAAACCAGAAAACGAGAAGTTGGTCTACTGCGTCTGCTGATCAGAATTTTCCTAACTGTTCAAACATGCCTGTGTTTTGTGGCACTGTGGATATATAAAGTGTACAGAGACTCTGAATGGTTAATTGAGCTATGAGAGGGGTCTTTACATCTCAATAATTGTCTCATTGTGTTTAGACAATACAAGTTATATTGTGGCTAAGGAACTTTCAGATTTTTAATCTTGGTTATCTTCATTTTCTGCTGAAAACTAGTTAATGATTATGTTATCTCAAGAAAGCAAATAAGGTTATCCCAAGATATCAGTGATAACTCTATCATGTGATCATGTGTGTGCTGTGATCTGAGCTGATAACACCAAATCCAGAGAACCCATTATTGTTCAGTGTGTGAAAGTGAAGGGCAAACACAGGCTGAAGTATTGTGTGCCTCTGTTGATGATAACATTTCTATTCTTCCTTGTTAGCCAGGCTGCACCTTCACAAAGGCACACATTTCAGTGATTCTGCAGATGTTGTTTAATTCACTGGCACCAGATCCTGTATGAGAAGGGCATTTGTGCGGCCGATGGTGGCACACTTGGAGTCAATAAAACCAATCTCATACCTGTACACTTGATATAAAGCTCAAGCCTGCGGACAGTTAGCTCCGCACAAAAACTAAAAACAGGGGGAAAGCTAGCCCTACTGTTTCCAAATTCAAAAATACTCCGACCAGCAACTCTTAAGCTACCTAACTACAGTATGTTAATTAGCTTATGGCTAAATACTTCTTGGGGGGACAGCTTCTTCCAGCCTTCATGCTACGCTAAGCTAATAGCCTCCTGGTTCCATATATAGGGCTTTGGGTATCAATCTTCTCATCTAACCCTTGGCAAGACAGTAAATATTTCCCGAACATGCTGTAAAGTTCACACCCTTCCATTCCTACCACGGCTGGGTGTTCCAGGCAGGGAGCGTCTCCTGCTTGTGGCTGCTTTCCCCTTCTGGTTTATATTTGTGAGACTGGAGCTCTTCTGCCCCTGCAGTGTCTGCTTCTCCGCCTCCACACAAAGCCGAACTTCATCCAAGCACACAGGGGAGGAGGAGTACGCCACAGTCCCTCCACTGTTATCGAAGGAAAGAAGGTCAATGGTCAGGCAGCTAATACACTGTAGATGAGAATCATCTTGGTATGTGGTCACTGCAGTGTAATTGAGTTTTCATGGTGTGTCTGCATTAGTTGAAAATCCCCTTTAATATTCTAAATGTGTGTGACAACTGGAGACTATTGAAAGAATGATCAATTGCACTATACTTTACATTCTTGATCACACAAAGTGCCTCATCATCAACTACTGTTAACTTGGTCTTACTTGTTGGTTTGACTCTTAATTGGCGATTCTTCTTTGTAACTGGAAGTCAACAGATCCATGGAAGGAGTTGAGGAAACACAGCTGTCATCTGGAGAGAACAATGGCAGGAGGGAAGGAATTAAAACGTTTTGGGAGAAAGAAAATAGATCAAATACTAAAGAACAAAGTAACAAACAATGAAACGAACAAAACAACAACTGAATGAAACACAATGGAACAAACAAAGCAATGAACAACAACATTATCAAGGTGTTAACAGCTATGAACAAACAAAGAAACTAATGAAAAAGCATAAACAAGTTTAGGAACAAAAAAGGGATAAAACATGTGAATGAAGTTACACACAAAAGAACAACAAACTTCAAAACAGCGGCAGAAAAAAAGAGGTGAATTACCGACCTGATGTGTAACTGCTCAGTGAGTCGGTATCTCCTGGCCCGGTGGTGTGGCGCATCTCCAGTGAGTGACTAGAGAGTTTACGTAGGAGGTTCTGAAGCTGCGTTTCATCAGGGAAAGCAGGGTTCTTATTGGCTCTCCAGCCTGACAATGGGTAAGACTTGGGGCTGCCATCTGTCTCAGTGAGAGGGTGAGTGTGCCCAGTTGGAGGATTCGTCCTGAAGTTTTGCAAAGGAGGGAATGGAAAAAGAGAGAAGGCAAAGAAAAACTGAAATAGAAATCAACTGAAAGGGCAGGTCCATCTTTTTCAAATGGAAATGCTCGATCAGCAGTTAGCAAAAAGCAGTGACGTAAAAAAGAAAAATGGACCCAAGCTTTCAAAGCATAAGTTACGTAATACTGTACTGTTTAGTGTTAGATTTGCCATCCTCAGAAAATGGGCATGAAGCGGCTGCAGAGCCAGGACTGCCACCAACTGACCTTCCCCCAGGGTGAAACCTTCGTCTGTGGCCTCTTCTTCTGGGAGAGGTTTGCTGAGAATGCAAACCACAGAAGTGCATCAACCAGTGCTGAAAAAGCTGAGCCTCTTAAATGAGCACAGACACTTGATCTAAAACACTTTTTACAGCCTTTAGATTCTGTAATTGTATAGCTCTTTGGTTGCAACAGGGTATTAGGGCTGCCCAAACACATATCTCTTTCCTCTAATTTCTACTTCTTGGTGTATAGTTACCTCGCTAGTCATGACTTCAGTCAGTTCCACCCCCAGCGGACAGTACTGGCCACCATCAACCGTAGACGGCTCCTCCCTCTCTGTCACCGAATAGTGAGGTGACTGACCACGCTCCCTCTTCTCAGAAGGATTCTGGGTATTCTGTGGAGGCAAAGTGCGAACTACAGCAAGGCTGTGGTAGGCACCACAAGCCACCTGTGGGGAAATAAATAGAGATGGTATTTCTGGATAAAGCACATTGTATTTTTTGTCATTTAGATGTGGCAATGGTGATAACAGGAAGAGAAACTACCTGAATTACATGTCTTCCCGCCAAGTGCTCCACCTGTGCCAGAGATAGAAATAATAATACAGTTTAGTCAAGTGCTTACACACATGCAAAAACACCATCAATTCACCATCAGTCAGCATACTTTTAGACTTATTTTCTCTCTCACCAGCTGAAAGACAAAAGATTCAATATTCAACAATAGTATCAATATCCACAGCAGGATTGTGTCAATGGTTTTCATTTTGACTTGCTGACATGTGACTGAGTTTTGAATGCTTAAATTCATTGAGCTTTACGCAAATTACCTTCTGTGGTCTCCACACAGGAAAAGCGCTAGTGACCAGGCCAAGCTGGCAACCGCTGCCCCACGCCCACAGCTCATTCTGGGCCGACAGAGCCAGGCTGTGCTCCCGTCCAAGAGCCAGATCCACAACCCGTACAACTGCTGGAGGAATGACCTCACTGTCCACCACAGTGACTGGGCAAGGCTCTGGAACTGACACAGGATGTTTTACATAACTTATCTTCCCTCAACATTTATCCATTGATAAAAAAAATGCATCAATAAGTGAAAGGAAAAATTAAAGAAAGACATATGGGAGGGGCACTGATGTAAGGAAAATGAAAGGACGGCAAGCAGTGGGTTGGATGAACAAACAACTTGGGAAATATGGGAAGAAAAGAAGGAAGGAAGGAGATAAAGTGTTGACCAACCTGTGATGTTTGTGACGGTACCCCTCTCAGTCAGCCCACACTGTCCTGCAGTGTTCTCCCCCCACATGTAGACACTGCCCTGCTCAGTCAGTGCTCCACAGTGGAAACCACCCGCAGCAACATGCACCACTGTCCTCCCCTGCAGAGACACTTCCAGCACTGGAGCAGACACCGGGATGCTCTGATCCCTCCACAACAGCTCTCCGAAGGAATACACCTGTCCACCTGGAGGACAACAACAACTCAGTGGAAATAGGTCATCTTAATTTTAATGTCTCTAATTCACATAGGTGATGCATCTTAAGGTAGAAACATATACTTGTTTAAAAATGTATGGGAGGAATATAGTGGGTGAAGATGTAATAATGTAACCATGGCAACCACAGCCTAGCTTACTGCAGCAACTTTTTTTTTTTTTTTTTTACAATCCCCAGCTACAGATCCACACAGAAGACAAGTCTCTCTTTTCAATACTGGTGGGGCGATATGGACGAATAAAATCACGCTAATCATTACAACATCTTATACTCACTAGGCTGAGAATGAGAATTTTAATTCACAATATGATTATGTATTGTGTGTTAAACCAAACACACACACTCACCCTGTGTCAGCAGAAGTCCATGGTGTTCTCCTAGGGCAGCCTGCAGGACAGGCCTGGACAACAGCACTCTCTCTGGACATTGCTGTGCAGTGGGGCCTGCTGACTGCCAGATGTGGAGCAGTCCTCGCTCTGGAGGTGTGGGGGCCCGCTCATCTGCAGGGCTGCCACAATGCATGCAAATAAATCACTAACGTTGGCCTGAAATGGGCCTTAAAGATAGACATAACCTGACCTCAGCTAAAACACATCTTGTCCAAACCCAAACCAGCTGAACACCAGCCAGGTCCTGAAACCACTGCAGATTTCTAATTTTGGAATTAGCTGTAAGACACACACACACACACACAAAAAAAAGGCTCACTGAATTCCAGCTCAATCATCCGCCGACCATGACTTGTTTGTTGAGCATCTGCAGACCCTGACGTGCTTTGAGGGAGGAGAGCAACATCTGTAAATAACTCGCTCACACTGAACTGGCCATAAGTATATTGCAGAACTGCAATGCAGAGGTGCAAACACTGGCCAGACACTCTTTTGATGTGGTTCTCATTGCTGCATGTCTCAGCAACAGCCCCTCAGAATACGTAAGGTGAAGCCAGTTAGTAATAAATCCAGACGATCTGTTTCACTTGAGGTTTTCATCAAAACTTTTGTACAGTAAAGTCGGACTAATAGTAATACAGACATTTTTTAACACATAACAACTAGTAATTAAATTGAGCTAATCAGTCTCTTGTAACCCACTTTGAACTGAAATAAAAGTATAAAAGTTGCTATATACACTGAGGGTGTAACTACATGTATATTTGTATTGAGCTGTTCGGTACAAGGCTTTAAGTTCAATGTGCATTACAAGCCAAACGATGCATTTAACTATGCTGTTACATTTGGAGAATAAAACACAACTTTAATTGTGTTTAACATAATGTTCTCACTCAGTGTCACATGCTGTCTGACCCTCCCACCCCCAAACCAGTGAGACTCATCAGTGGGAATACTTCAAACATGTCAACTTATTTTTACAGACATCACCTCAGTGTGTCAATCAGTAGAATTAGATGAAAACAAGGAGCAACACAAGCTACAACCTAACGTTATCCCCACAGCGGTGAGGCAGCCATTCCTAACTGATTTAAACAGGGAAAAAGAAATCACCACGATGACGACAACATAACATTTAAAGCCACAGATATGTAACATATTCCTTCATGAGCAAACCGTAATCCCAAATTATGATTTTCAAAAACAAGGACATTTCTCTGGTATTTCAGATGTGGAATAACTTATTTTGTTTGTGTTTGTAACTACAAAACTAAATTTTACATTTTATAAGGATCTGTTTTTGTTTTACATGCTGCTGCTAAGAAGACACCTCAGAAGATGGGTCACTCAGGTAGGCCTATAGCTCCATCATTGCTCACATCATACTTTATGATGTCAGATTTTATAAATTAAAAATGATAAAAATTAAAGTAACTTTTCTGGCACAGATAAATTTTTGCTTTATTGAACCGTGAATTTTGTGTACCCTTACATCCCTAATATAAACAATGTAAAGTTTAACTGACAGATTAGGAGATCATCAGTCAATCTTAATTCACATCTCGTCTGCATCACATTTAACACCATGAGATAACTGGAGAGATATAATCAGGACAGGGACAGCTCAAGAATGTGTGTGTGTGTGTGTGTGTGTGTGTGTTTACCTTTCCTCTCTGCTCTCCATCACTTTAGACTCTCCATTCCACAGGACAGTGCAGGCATCTTTATTAACATTTCTTCTGGTGTTCTGTTCGTGCTCAACAATAAATCATTTTTTAGGTTCATCTGGCTCCACGTGCTTGTCCTCTGTAAAACACCTGTTTATCCCCCCCCCCCCAAAAAAGGATAAAAGTAATATTCTTCATCATAGTTGCAGTTATTGATGCTTATAGAAACTTTCATTTCATTTTAATGTGCTATGAAAATCAACACCAAACTCTAACTCTAATAATCTTGCTAAGCATGAACATAAATATATATATATATATATATATATATATATATATACCATCTCACATTCCTGTTATATTCTTGTGTTTGATTATTACTATTATTATTATTATTATACCTACTTAAACTGCATTGCTGGAGGGAGCCTATGATCCAAGTTTCTCAGTTAAACCTAAAAATTAATCCATCATAGTGAAGTCACTTTATTACTAATACATTAATACATGTAAATTGCAATTACATTTGTTAAAATGATGTCATCATGTTGTTTGACCAAACTTCTATTATAATACTCATTATTATTATTAATAATATTATTGTGATTGTTGTTATTGTTGCTGTTTCTATCATTTTATTTTATTTTATCTTAGCTATTTTATGGTCTTCATCTGTTTGTTCAGAAACCTTGAGGTAAATTATTCTGTCAAACTACCAATTGCAAGCTCAAGAATGAATTTTCAGGGTAACGTTATTAATTTTAATTATGAGCTCGCTAGGAGTGGTTTCTTTTGATCTTTAGTGGATGCTTATGATCTATGATGGCATGCTGACAGGTCTCAACACCTCCATTACCAGTAAAACTATTTGCGAGTGGTGTCAGTGTAGCTCCACGCTCCATACGTGCTTCACATTAACTACATCTCTTTAAACACACATTAAACCAACACAGAGCTCCTGACGTTAATCGTTGTGCCGATAAAGCCATTTACGTACACACAGATTAGCTAACGTTGATAAACAGCAGACATGTTCTGTCACCGAGTAAAGATACAGCTGTAACTTTCTGTCAAGTAACGTTACACGTTTGCCAGCTTTTTAACATACAACGTTAGCGAAGTTTACTTTGCTCTGAAACACTGCATGAAGGCCGTGTATTATCAGTGAAGCTAAGAGAAGGTAAAGCTAATAAACTAAAGTTGGTTAGCTTAATGCTACCGCTGCTAAAGAAGCTAACTAAACTTACCAACTGCCGCTCTGAGGTCGGGATATCGCCGCGGAGGTTTGTGTTGCGGCAACTCTGAATGAGTCCGGATAACTGTGTGAAGCTGTCACATCAGAAACACTGAGCTATGACATTTTTTAATGTCTCAATCAGTGCAGCGCAGTGAAAGCAGAAGTTGTCTCTGACACTTCTGTGTTGTTGATGGGAGGCACCTCTCCGATGGCAGCCGGGCAGGGACAAATGCTGCGGCTGTGCCACACCTGTTGCTGCTCGGTATGTCACAGAGGCGACAGTGAAATAAAGATGTTCCACTCTGTCACTATTTTAAATAGTTAGACATTGAACTCTATAAATTATAGCAGCCAGTCGCTAAACATGTTATTGCATTATTATTATAAATGTGCTTTACGTGAAACAATCATTTTGATTGGTCTGTGACAAATAGGGTGGGCACACCTAATACTAAAAAATAGGCTACTGCTCTGAGAACATGCAAAGAAAGACTTTTCTCTGTTTAGAAATAAGAGTTGCAGCTCAAACAATGAGGGTTTAATAAGAAAAGCGGTAGTGAGATGCTGGGTGGGTGAGTACTTCGTGATTGAAGCTAAAATGGGACATTTTTCTTAAGTGGAACCAGCATGTTTCCATGCTACCAGGAACCATAAAATCATTATTTATGCTATTGTGTGTCCACCTGTAATATTACAGCCATTTTTAGTAGCTATTTTTGTCACTATTATATTAAAGATGAAACAGGGAGTCCAGAATTAGCCAGAATTGTTACACACACATCCACAATATGGCACCAGGGAAACAAGCTGCAAAGAACAGGGAAAGCATAGAATGCGTTTCACCATTTAAAGAATAAACAAATATGACTGTCCTAATTTACCTTACCAGCTGTCCCATTTTACCTGACCATGTCATCGGAATCAGGAAGGGGTTCTTGATGTGTTTGAAGGTCCCAAATTTCTAAATTATTTTACTCTGCAAGATATTTCCTTTATAGAAATATAGCAGTGATACATAACAAGTTATAAAAGTACTATTCAAGGGAGTAGTCTCTTTTAGGTGGATTTCTTAGTAATCTACCAAAAAGTGTCCCAAATTACTATTGACTTGTTTTAATGTGATACTAAAAGCCATAACACATTTTACTGTTAAAAACAAACAAACAAAAAAACAGAGAAACATTAACTGTAACACTCAAAATTGACTTTTTAAAAATAGATATTTAATAATTCTCCAAAATTCCAGCAAAATCATTTTATTATTAATACATTATTACATGTAAATTGCAAATGTGTTTGTTAAAATGATGTTATAATATTGTTTGACAACTTTTGTTATTCTCATTATTATTGTTGTTATTATCTTTATTTTATTTCATTTCAATTTATTTTATTCTATTTATTTTACTTTGTTTTATTTTATTTTATTTTATTTTAGCTTCTTTTGTAGTTTTCATCTACTTGCTCAGGAACCTTGATGTAAGATTATTTTGTCAAACTGCTAATTGCAAGTTTAAGAGTGAACTTTTGGTGTATTAATTTTAGTCATGAGCTCACAAGTTTGTAAAGGTTCCACTGGGAGGGTGGAACTATTATACATTAGGGTGTCTGCAGGCCCTTAAAACATTTTAAAATGTCTTAAACTTTATAAATATTAGGCCGAAAAAGTAACTTAATAGTCCTGAATTTGAATTTGTGAGGTATTAATAGCTACAAACATTTTGTCTGATTTCATTTATCTATCTCTTATTTTTTTGTCACACTGTCTTTACACTTTTTACTTGGACTTATCTGTTGGCAAACTCACTCCAATAACCATGCTTGAATCTGCCGTCTGGTTGCTCCTCTGAACACGGGCCACTCTGCAGCTGCCTCTGAACAGTGTACAGCAGTCATCCAAGATAACTGTAAATGTCGGTTTGTTTATTGGCTAACTACCATGATGACTGTTATCATAACAAGAATGTATGCGAATATGTGTGTGAATGTATAGCGAGGGCAGGATCTCCCATGGGTCCCATAGGGGTGTTGGAACAGCAGAGGTCTCCCTCCCTTGAGCTGTAAAAGCAGCATCTGCTACACCTGCCCTTTTCGGACTCAGATTGCTGCCCACATGTTGAGCACCAGGACCTACAAGAAGAGCAACCACACCACTGACACAGACACATTTACAATTACCAGGTTTGAAATGTAGGCTCTAACCCCACGATCCCCAATAGATAGGGTACAACATGAGGTAGATTTTTTGCACAACATGTTAAAATACCAAGCATGATTTCTGTGATCATGCTCAGTTGTTTTAAAAAGACTTTCAGGGAGGATACCATGTTATAAACCCTGTGCAGAGTGTGCAGCTCCTGACAGAGAAGGACTACATCAACTTTTCCATGCATGTGGTGTCTGGAGGCTCAGTGAGTCAGCCCCTGGAGAAATACCTAAAGGTAACAGTAACATCTGCTCATTTGCTCCTCAACATTTCAGTGTGATTTCAGTGCTCCTGACTCACACACCACCAATGCTCAAAAAGGGTTATGGGTATGTTTTATATTTGAGAATGCCTTTGATATATTACCAATTATTAAAATATTCAAACTTTAACATGCTTTCTTCTGTTCTCCGTTGCAGGAGGCTCAGTTGGAGTGTCAGAGGTCATCACAGCAGTGGTCCTTCTTGACTCTGACGAGCTGAGTCATATCAGAAATGTCCTAATGTCTCACCACAGTCCTCAATCATATGTCCTGACCTTGTGGTTCCAAACTGCGGCACACCTACTCCCTTAGAAATCCATAAGTATTCAGTGAGGGAGTTTTGGACTCTCTAAGATGAACTGTTTTTAAAGCAGTCTGTAAGATGTGTCATCATATCTACAATTTTACTCCTCCTCTCACTTCCAGGCAATATATATGATTAATAATGATAGACAGCACAGTGTGTGTGTGTGTGTGTGTGTGTGTGTGTGTATGTGTCTCTCTCTCTCTCTCTCTCTCTATATATATATATATATATGTCTTCCACTGCTAAATCCTTTTTTCCCTTTCCTTTCCCTTTCTTTCACCCATGTTCGTGATTAGCTCTTGTTTGCCGTTTTAGTGTTTTCTATATAAAAGTGTCCAGCAGGTTTTGGCTCTGACTTTTACTGCCTGCAGTAAAACAACGAGGGAAAAAAAATGAAAAAAGGAACAAGGGCAGAGAATCCAGAGAAAGAGGGTCGAGTATATTTGCCTTCTTGGAGCTGAACATGAGACATTAAAGGATCACAGCTGCTGGCAGTAGCTTCTGGGGTCTTAAATGTAGCATGTGCTGCTCTTTCCTTCTCATATTCAGTTTTCACCGCGCAAACATCACAGCTTTGGGAGGTTCGGCTCTATCGTTTCGAGAGACACGCTGTTGATGTCATTGTTGTTCATGTTCTATTTTCAAAACAGCAACATTAAGTTCATCGGTCTCATCATAACTTTAACGCACCACATCAGCTGATATTTTTAAATTAACTTGTGTTTTCAGCTGTTTTGTTGTTGTTTCTACGCAACAATAACGTAACTTTGGCAATAATCTGGATTTTCTCAAACAAGTTTGAGTCTCTGAACAATTATGTTCAAACTGTACATAAAAGGGAGAAACTACAGCTGACTGGGAGACAGGGAAAACACCCAGCATGCCTTGAAATACGGTTGGACGTAATGTAACATATATAGAATCTGTAAATGGAAAAACACTGGTGTACTCCTTCAGATGAAGATGGCGCCTGCATGATCATGCAACAAGCTACTCAATACAAGTTAAACTTGGAACCTTTATGTCATGTTTATTGCAATTTACAATTTATGGATAGCTGTAAAGGCCCAGTGTGTAGGAGTCAGGGGGACATATTGCAACCTGCAACCTCACCAGTTGATGAGGTGGGTGTAGGTAGGTAGGAGGAAGTGGGTATGTTGCAAACAGCCAAAGAATAGAGGTGGGTGTACCTGTGTATACCTTGCCACTGCTTAGATGCCGCTAAATCCTACACACTAAACCTTTAACCTGCTATATCAGAACAATTTTTTGTCTTATTTTTTTCTGTACCCCATTTTACCCCCTCCTACACACACATACACACGCACAAAGACACAGAGTAACCTCATGTCGTGACCTGAGCAGCCAGTATCCCCCTGTCCAAACGCTCATAAACTTCTACTGCTGCTGGAAACAACACAACCTGGGTTTTGTGTGTGTGTGTGTGTGTGTGTGTGTGTGTGTGTGTGTGTGTATGTGTGTGTGGGTAAAACCATTCAGGGTTGCAGCCAGGCCACAGCAACACAGCAAGTCTGAGAGAGCGGTTTGATTGACCACAATGGCGTGAGGAGTAGAGGAGTAGGTAACACACACATAAACAAACAAACAAACACACACACACACACACAAACACAGATGAATGCATGTACACACACAAAGCATCATATAAGTTTGTCTTGCAACTGTTGAGAAAATTGATATTTCTCTGTTTCTGCAAATCCTTGGTTACAGGATGACATTTTTTCTTTAAAGGCATATTACTTCATGAAAAGAGAAAAAAAAGAGAACAGTTTTTTTTTCTCTTGTGGTTGTGTTTTCAATTTCTGGCAATTATGACTTAATACATTGTTCTGATAAAGATTATGAACTTGTGAGATCTTGTGATTTACGAAGACTCATAAGTATTAGATATGATCTTTGGATTCCTGAGAGTTCTTATAAAGTAATTACCTACAGACACAAGATGAGCCGTAACTGCAATTACTGACTCTTACTTTAGGTCAGTCAGATATCAGCGGTGCACTAGTGTGTCCTCAAAAGGCGAATCTTTGAGAAGTATGCATAGGACTTAATGTTCTTGGTATTAATACACACCCACAGTCAGCTTTGCAACACTGTCTTTATCAGTGTTTTATTCACATGTAGTTTGATGCCAAAAGAAGAAAAATTCAACTTTGTCTCAGACACAACATGGGAGGGGTTTCGTTTTAACTATCTGGCACTGGAAGTACTGTTTGTGTGTGTGCGTGCATGCATGTGTGTATGTGTACGCAGCGTATTTAAAGAACATTGGAAACACATGTCTGGAGCCTGATAAAACTGTTTTAGGCACAGGGTAACTTGGCATGATCTTTACATAGACACACACACACACACACACACACACACACACACACATACACATACTCAAGC